CCTAAACCCTAAACCCTAAACCCTAAACCCTAAACCCTAAACCCTAAACCCTAAACCCTAACCCAAGCAAAGCAGCTTCGGTTCGGCCGAAGACCTGGCCATCTACCTGCGTCAGGGCTCGGGCAGGAAGGCCTCCTACAAGGGGTTTTTTTGTAGGGTTTAGTGTTTAGGGTTTAGGGTTTAGGGTTTAGGGTTTAGGGTTTGGGATTTGGGGTTTGGGGTTTAGGGTTTAGGGCTTAGGGCTTGGGGCTAAGTGCTACAGGGTTTAGGGCCTTAGGCCTAATGGTTGAGGGGTTTGGGAATTTTGAGGTTTGCAAGCTTCACGGTTCAGGATTTTCGGGGTCACAGTTTTAAGGCTTGGCGTTTCGGGCTGAGAGAGCGAAAAACAACGGCTAACCCCGAGCCCTAAGCTTTCACAGGCCCTGCAACCCTACGCAGGAAGCAAAAACAAACGTGAAAAAAAGCTTGCGGCTGAGGGTTTAGGATTTTGGGTTTAGGGTTTAGGGTTTAGGGTTTAGGGTGTAGGGTGTAGGGTGTAGGGTTTAGGGTTTAGGGTTTAGGGTTGAGGGTTTCGGGTTTGGGGTGTAGAAAGGCACTATTTTGTGTAGGAAGGGGCTTGGGGCTTAGGATTTTGGGTATTGGGGTCTATAAGAGATTCCTCAACCCCACCCCCCACCTAAGATCCCAAAACCCTAAACCCTAAACCCAAAACGCTAAACCCTAAACCCTGAACCCAAAACCCTAAACCCTAAAACCTAAACCCGAAACCCTAACCCGAAATTCCTGGGCCCCGGGCCGAGATTTGGGCCCCTGCCACGCAGCTCTGGCAGCAGCGCGTGACCAGCGAGACCTGTGGTTAGGGTTCTGGGGTTTAGCGTTTCGGGTTTAGGGTTCAGGGTTTAGGGTTTAGGGTTCTGGGTTTGTGGGGGGTGTAATTTGGGTTCGAGGTTTTCCGGGACCTCTGGGTTGGGATGAGAAAGGTTTGGGGGGTTTAGGGTTTAGGAATCAGGGTTCAGAGTTTAGGGTTTAGGATTTAGGGTTTGGGGTTTCGGGTTAAGGTTTGGAGTTCAGGGTTTAGGGTTTAGGGTTTAGGGTTTAGGGTGTAGGGCTGAAAAGGGTTTAAGGTTTAGAGCTTAGGGTTCAGGGATGTTCCACCCTATACTAACAGTCTTGATAGGTAGGGGGTACTTGAACATCCCCATTAAGGACTGTTCGTCTAAGGGGGAACATGTCAAGTTCTGGGTTTCTCAATCTTCTGGCGTTCTAGGTTGAAGGGCTCTCGGGTTCTCAGGGTTCTGCCGCGCACATGGACTGTGTACTCAGTGAAGCCCTCTGCGCAGCGGAAGTCGTGCCTCCACGACTTTGTGCAATTGCCAGTGCACTCGGTACAGTAGGAGAAAAACTGTCGCCGAACGTCAAGCGTGAAGGACTTGCTTTTGATCGCGGCTGTGATGTTTGCCTCTGTCTGAAAGGCGTAGACAAGTGCTCTGCAACACGAATTGGGGTTCTAGGGCTCTAGGGTTCTAGGGTTCTTGGGTTGCATCCAGGGCTCTAGGGTTCTAGGGTCCCGGGTTCTAGATGAGGGTTCAGGGTTGAGGACTTTGTGTGTGTGTGAGCGATTGAAGGGTCCCGGGGGGAATACGCTTAACCCTGAACCCCAAACCCTAAACTTTCACCCCGAGCCTTACCACACAAACCCTGCCCAAACCCTAAACCCTAAACCCTAAACCCTAAACCCTATGAAAGCCTGAGTGCAGAGGGTTGATGGATTTAGGACTCAGGGCTGAAGGCTCAAGACCCGCCCCTAAACCCCAAACCCCAGACCCTAAACCCGAAACCCGAAACCCTAAACCCTAAACCCTAAACCCCAACCCCTAAACCCCAAACCCTAACCCCCAAACCCAAAACCCGAAACCCTAAACCCTAAACCCGAAACCCTAAACCCTAAACCTCAAACCCCAAACCCTATACCCCTAAACCCCATGCCTTGCAACTACCAGCCCAGCTGGCACCTCCACGATGGGAACGCCGAGCCTGGCCACCTCCACCTCAGAGCGCCCCGGGCTCAAGAGCCAAAGCTTCCGTGTTTGGGGTTTAGGGTTTAGGGTTTGGGGTTTGGGGTTTAGGGTTTAGGGTTTAGGGTTTTGGGTTTCGGGTTTCGGGTTTAGGGTTTAGGGTTTGGGGTTTTGGGGTTTTGGGGTTTTGGGGTTTGGGGTTTGGGGTCTAGGGCTGCAACCCTCAACCCTAAGCCCTCTTTGGGGTTTAGGGTCTCGGGTTTGGGGGTTCCACCAAGTTCAAATGAGCCCTACAAACCCATTAAAGTAAGCCTACGAACCCATAAACCCTACAACATCTACAAAGCCCCAAGCCCGATAAAACCCACGACGCCCTACAAAAAAAAAGTCAAAGTTGGGTTTAGGGTTTAGGGTTTAGGCACCCCTGACTCCCTAAACCCCTAACTTTGAACCCTCTACCCCGGAGTCCCGGAGCCCCTAAGCCCTGAACCCGAAACCCGAAACCCTAAACCCTAAACCCGAAGCCCTAAACCCGAAACCCGAAACCCGAAACCCCGAAACCCTAAACCCCGAAACCCTAAACCCTCAACTCCCAATCGGCTCGTGGGTTCATAGGTTTCTGCACTCCCGAACTCGCCGAACCTCCGAGATTTGCACGGTAGATCCCTAAACCCTAAACCCTAAACCCCAAACCCCAAACCCTAAACCCTAAATCCTAAACCCTAAACCCTAAACCCTAAACTCAAACCCTCCGATACCTTGGATCGCGTTCAGTGGTCCACAACATCTTCCTGGTGTTGTCAGAGTTGGAAGTGTCCTTCCCAAGCCAGTAGCACTCTTCCGGATCCTTGCCCTGACAGAAGTAGTCCACAAGCTTGGTTGTAGTCAATGAAGCCAGACTTCAGACCGTACATCACGACAATGCCATCATCTTCTGCAAGCTCGTACACTCTGTTGCTCCCAGAAGAATTCACGTGCCTCAATAGCCAGCCCATGAGACCAGAGATCCGTCCGGCAACAAACTCAACCTTCGGAACCTCTTTTGCCCTAGATCCAGAGCCAACTAGGGGTCTCAGCACTTCTTTCCGTGCCGATCCCGTCGACTTTGTATAAAAGGACACTCTTCTTGCGACCTACTATAATGCCCTGCCACATAAGCATCTCAAGTCCTTCCAAACCCTTTCCCTTGTCATATTATTTCCAAGCCATGCTGCTGCTCATGGCTGTTTCTTGTAGGAAAGCTCTCCTGTCTAGGGTAACCCATAACAGAGGTGTGTGTGTGTGTGCTTGCACTCCCAGCATACATTGGACTCGCTGGCAGTTTGGGGTCTAGGGTCTAGAGGGTTTAGGGTGTTCGGGTTTGGGCTTAGGGTTTAGGGTTCAGGGTTTAGGGTTTAGGGTTTTGGATTTGGGGTTTGGGCCAGAAACATCAAGCTATAACCCCTAAACCCCGGAGTCCAGAAAAGCCTCATGCTGCTGCAATCCCGACCAGGGTGCATGAACCCTAAGCCCTAAACCCTAGCCCTAAACCCTGAACCATAAACCCTAAACCCAAACCCCGATCCAGGCGAAGCGGCCAGTCGTCCAGTGCCGTGAGCCTCTGCGCAAAGATCGGCAATAGTAGGGTCTGGGGTTTAGGGCTTAGGGTTTAGGGTTGACTGCATAATAACCTAAAACCTAAACCCTAAACCGATTCTACACCAAAAGCCCAACAGTTCCAAACCACTCAACCCGCCGGAATCCAAAATCCAAAACCATGGAATCCTTAAACCCTGCAACCCTGGGGGCGTCGGGAGAGACACTTAGGGCTTACAGGGTTTGAGGGTTTTGTAGGGTTTAGGGATGAGGAACCCTAAGCCCTAAACCCAAAATCCACCCTAAACCCTAAACCCTAAACCCTAAACCCTAAAGCCTAAACCCTAAACCCTAAACCCTAAACCCTAAACCCTAAACCCTAAACCCTAAACCCTAAACCCTAGCTCGCCCCCCCCCCCCCCCCACTAAGGCCCTGAAAGAACCCGCCTGAACTGCCCGGTCGCTCAGCGGGGACGACCTCCCGGGCTCATAGAGGGGTGAAGGGGAGGTTTGGGTTGAGTAGCCCTAAACCCTAAACCCTAAACCCTAAACCCTAAACCCCTAAACCCCTAAACCCCTAAACCCCTAAACCCCTAATTCCGAGGTTTAGGGTTTAGGGTTTAGGGTTTAGGACCCCTATAAGGTACCCCATTTTTCGGAAACCCCATTTAGGGTTCAGGGCCTAGGGGTTTAGGAGGCTGAATTGGGGTTTGTCATTTCGGAATCATGTCAGATAGGAGCCTCACACACACACACGCACCGAGCCAGGCAGCCACTTTAGACCCGAAACCGTAAAGCTCCCTAACCTCCTTTAAGGAGTTTTGTTTAAGGGGTACCCTTTTAAATGCCCATACTAAGAGACCACGTAACTACCCTTAGAAAAGCCTAAACGCTGAAACCCTAGCCCCCCCTACCCTGCAACCCTAAGAACCGCCAGGGGAACGTGGCAGGGACTCAGTTCCTCGCACTCCTCCTTTTGGCTGCAGATGCTAGCTCCGCCACCCCCCCCCCCCCCCCCCAAAAAAAAAAAGGGTTTAGGGTGTAGGGTTTAGGGTTTCGTGTTTCGGGCTTAGGGTTTCCGGGCTCAGGGTTTCGGATTTCGGGTTCAGGGCTTACATATAGGCTCAGCTTGGGGATTCAAGGTTTCGCAGAAGAAGCCCTCGCATCTTTGGAAAGTTTCTGCAGCGTGGCCACCGCTCTTTCCTTGGCTGCATTGAGCATCGAAAGATTGGGGTTCAGGGTTGGGGGATGGGGGTTCAGGGTTGGGGCGCAGGAATTAAGGGTTTAGGGTTTAGGGTTTAGGGTTTTGGGGTCCAGGGTTCAGGGTTTAGGGTCCAGGGTTGAGGGTTTAGGTCTAGGACTTCGGGATTTAGGGTCTGGTTTTGGGGTTTGGGCTTCAGGGTTCAGGAATTAAGGTTCAGGGTTTGGGGCTCCCCAGGGCTCCGCATCTTTGATGTCCACGAAGACGTGGTCGTGGAAAAATGCTGCCACCTCAGCTGCACTGTTGGTGACGGACTTACCTCTACACCCTAAACCCTTAAAACCCTAAACCCCTAAACCCTAAACCCTAAAACCCTAAACCCTAAACCCTAAACCCTAAAACCCTCAACCCTAAACCCCAAACCCTAATGGCTGAAGCCTTTAGGTCCCCAAAGAACCCAACCCCTACCGGCCTTGAAGACCTCGATCTCGATATTCCAAAAACCCTCAACCCTAAGGGTATAGGGTTGAGTGTTTAAGGTTTAGGAAGCCTGAAACCCCAAACCCCACAAACCTTCGAAAAGCCCTAAACCCTAAACCGGGCCCTAAACCCTAAACCCTACAACCCCAAACCCCACAAACCTTCGAAAAGCCCTAAACCCTAAAACCCGAAAACCCTAAACCCCAAAACCCTAAACCCCTGAAACCCCAGAAACCCTAAAACCCTAAAACCCTGAACCCCTAAAACCCTAAAACCCTACACCCCTAAAACCCAAAAACCCTAAAACCCTAAAACCCTAAAACCCTAAAATCCCTAAAACCCCTAAAACCCCTAAAACCCTAAAACCCTGAAACCCTAAAACCCTAAAACCCTAAAACCGTAAAACCGTAAAACCCTAAAACCCTAAAACCCTAAAACCCTAAAACCCTAAAACCCTAAAACCCTAAAACCCTAAACCCTGAAACCCTAACACCCTAAAACCCTAAACCCTGGAACCCTAACACCCTAAAACCTTAAAAAAAAAAAAAAAAAAACACCTTCAACCCTAACCCTAAACCCTAAACCCTAAACCCTAAACCCTAAACCCAAAACCCTAAAGCACGGCAGAGCAAAGCCGCCACGTTCGCGGAGATGCCCTCGCGCGCCAGGGCGGAGGCGAAGGCCGCAGTGAGGCCAACAGCCTCTTGTGGGCAAAACTCCAAGTTCGGGGACTTAGGGTTTAGGGTTTAGGGTTTCGGGTTTAGGGTTTAGGGTTTAGGGCTTAGGGTTTAGGATTTAGGGTTGATAATTTTTCGGGATTCAGGGGTGCTGGAGGGATCCAGGGCTCAGGTTTAGGCACGAAATTTGCCCTCAGCTGAAAACTCGAGCCCCAAACCACCAGCCCCTGATTCCCTAAACCTTAAACCCTAAACTCTAAACTCTAAACCCTAAACCCTACACACTAAACCCAGGGTCGTCATTGCCTCGAGCGAGGAGTGCACCGTCAGTGTAATCCAGGCGCTCACATACCTGTGGTTAGGGTTTAGGGTTTGGGGTTTAGGGGTTTAGGGGTTTGGGGGGTTTAGGGGTTTGGGGGGTTTAGGAGTTTAGGGCTTTCGGGTTTTGAGGGTTCAGGGGTTTAGGGGTTTAGGGGTTTAGGGGCTTAGGGAAGTTTAGGGGTTTAGGGGTTTAGGGGTTTAGGGCTTTGGGGGCTTAGGGGTCTAGGGGTTTAGGGGTTAGGGCTTTGGGGCTTTGGGCTTTGGGGGCTTCGGGGTTTAGGGGTTTAGGGGTTTAGGGGTTTAGGGGTTTAGGGGTTTAGGGGTTTGGGGGCTTAGGGGTCTAGGGGTTTAGGGGTTCAGGGGTTTAGGGGTTTAGGGGTTTAGGGGTTTAGGGGTTTAGGGGTTTAGGGGTTTAAGGGTTTAAGGTGTTCGGGGTTTAGGGGTTCAGGGAAGTTTAGGGTCGAGGGGTTTAGGGGTTTAGGGAAGTTTAGGGTTTAGGGGTTTAGGGGTTTAGGGGTTTAGGGGTTTAGGGGTTTAGGGCTTTGGGGGCTTAGGGGTTTAGGGGTTCAGGGGTTTAGGGGTTTCGGGCTTTCAACCCTAGCATCATGTGTCGAGCTGGGCGTTCTGAGGGTCAAACTGGGCTCTTGCTAAGTTACTGAAAATGAGCTGGTATAGGGTTTAGGGCTTAAGGTTTGAAGACCCCCAAACCCTAAACCCTAAACCCCAAACCCCAGACCCTAAACCTTTCTCAGCTCCTTAACCAGAGCCCAGGAGAGCGATCTGCCAAGCTGCGAGTAGCTGAAGAGATCTGGATATTTCTTGTCGCAGGTTTCCTTGTTGAGGATGAACCTTCAGGTTCCAGGATTTAGGGTTTAGGGGTTTAGGGTTTAGGCTTTAGGGTTTAGGGTTTAGGGTTTAGGGTTTAGGGTTTAGGGTTTAGGGTTTAGGGTTTAGGGTTTAGGGTTTAGGGTTTAGGGTTTAGGGTTTAGGGTTTAGGGTTTAGGGTACGACGGCTCTAAACCCGATCCCAAAACTGGAGCCCTAAACTCTGACCCACCTCTGAAGATTACTTAAGATTAGAAGCTCTTAACTCATACCTCGTAAACCTTCACACCCTACACCCTAAACCCTAAACCCTAAATCCTAAACCCTAAACCCTAGACCCTAAACCCTAAACCCTAAAGCCCAAAGTTTGCTGAAGTCTCACTGGCTGAGAAGCGTCACGCCCTCCAGCTCCTTGAACTCCATGAGTAGGTCGGCCCTCTTCAGGGGCGCGAACCAAGCTTTGGAGGGAGTTTAGGGTTTAGGGTTTAGGGTTTAGGGTCTAGGGTCTAGGGTCTAGGGTTTAGGGTTTAGGGTTTAGGGTTTAGGGTTTAGGGTTTAGGGTTTAGGGTTTAGGGTTTAGGGTTTAGGGTTTGGGGTTTGGGGTTTGGGGTTTGGGGTTTGGGGTTTGGGGTTTAGGGTCCCCAAGTTAGGGTTTGGCTTTAGTATTTAGAGACTTGCGAAAACTAGTTTGGGGATGCATGCCTTTGAATTGAGGGCTGGAGCCTATGAATTTGAAGGCTTTGGGGGTCTGACCCTAAACCCTAAACCCTAAATCCTAAACCCTAAACCCTGAACCCTAAACCCTAAACCCTAAACCCTACAAGGTTTCGGACTTTCTTTGGGGTTCAGCAGACCTCTCCACCCTCTCGTAGCGCTCATCTCCAGCTGGCACCGTCACGAAGACGTATTCGCCAGCACGCCTCGGAGTTCGTGAGGCTTGAAACCATTCAGGTACAAGGTTGAAGGTTGAAGGTTTCGGGGTTTAGGGTTTAGGGTTTAGGGTCTAGGGTTTAGGGTTTAGGGGTTTAGGGTCTAGGGTCTAGGGTCTAGGGTCTAGGGTGTAGGGTGTAGGGTTTAGGGTTTAGGGTTTAGGGTTTAGGGTTTAGGGTTTAGGGTTTAGGGTTTAGGGTTTAGGGTTTAGGGTTTAGGGTTTAGGGTTTAGGGTTTAGGGTTTAGGGTTAAGGGTTTGTGTGCATTGGCAATGTGGTAGTGGTGGTTGAGATACAGTAAAAGAATAATCTTCTAATGGGTGGGTTAGTGGTAGGCTGGTGGTATTAATTGTCACCCAAAACGAGCAAAGGTTCCGCTAACTGAAACACCCGAAACCCTAAACCCTCAACCCTCAACCCTAAACCCTAAATGCTAAAGGGCAACCTAAACACCCCAGTCACCGCAGAACCACCCTCCTGCTCAATTTCAGGGCACCCATCAAGGTCGGGAGCACCCGAGAAGGGTTTAGGGTTTAGGGCTGAGCGTTCAGGGTTTAGGTTTAGGGTTTTTGGGGGGGTTGGGTTGCGGGGCTGAGGGGGCGGGGAACTGGAGTTTGGCGGTGGATTGGGGGGTCTGCGGTGGTTTGGGTGAGTTTGGGTGAATTGAATATTCAGCTAGCCAGAAGCGATTGAACCAATTGACTTAAGCTCGGCTTGTCAGCTGTTTAGACAAAACACATGGGAAATTCAGAGTGATGCCACATACAATTTCTGTGCATCTTGTCTTGAGGGTTTAGGGTTCAGGGTTCAGGGTTCAGGGTTTAGGGTTTAGGTTTAGGGTTTAGGGTTTAGGGTTTAGGGTTCAGGGTTCAGGGCTTAGGGCTTAGGGCCAGCTCCCGCCATGGTGCTGGACTGGCTCCAGGGATGCGAGCAGCGCATCCAAATCGCGCTCGCCCCCGGGCTCCATGGGCCCGTCTATACCCTAAGGTTTAGGGTTTAGGGTTTAGAGTTTAGGGTTTAGGGTTTAGGGTTTAGGGTTTAGGGTTTAGGGTTTAGGGTTTAGGGTTTAGGGTTTAGGGTTTAGGGTTTAGGGTTTAGGGTTTAGGGTTTAGGGTTTAGGGTTTAGGGTTTAGGGTTTAGGGTTTAGGGTTTAGGGTTTAGGGTTTATGGGTTTAGGGTTTAGGGTTTAGGGTTAAGGGTTTAGGGTTTAGGGTTTAGGGTTTAGGGTTTAGGGTTTAGGGTTTAGGGTTTAGGGTTTAGGGTTTAGGGTTTAGGGTTTCAGGTCCAGGGTTCCAGGGTTCCACGGTTCCAGGGGTTCAGGGGGTTTACGGTTTAGGGCTCATGGGACGTATGGTTCTTTTGAGCTTAAGTAGGGCTTCGAGGATGGAGGACATGACTGTGGCAACCACCAGGCACCGAAGGCATCTTGAGACGAAAGGGGCGCGCGATTGCGAGCACGAGGTGTACAGTATGTGGACAAAAGATGGAACAGGACTCCTAAACCCTAAACCCTAAACCCTAAACCCGAAACCCGAAACCCTAAACCCTAAACCCTAAGACGGATAGGAGAGAACGGGTCATACCCTAAATGCTTACACTTTGTTGAAAGGTGTTTGAGATTCAGTTTTTACTGAAGTAAACCCTAATCCCTAAACCCCAAAACCCTTCAGGATTCCTGACTCAACTGTTTCTACGAAATCCCAGAACTGCTACCCCCTGAAAGGGTTTCAAGGCCTACCCTCGCGCCCCTTGCCGTGAACTAACCGCTTCTCCCCCAACTCTGAAACCTGAATCCTAAGCCCTGAACCCTAAACTCATAAACCCCTAAACCTTATATTTAAACCCCTAAACTCCTAAACCCCTAACCCCTAAACCCCTAAACCCCTAACCCCTAAACCCAAACCCCTCAACCCCTCAACCCCTCAACCCCTCAACCCCTCAACCCCTAAACCCAAAACCCAAAACTCCTAAGCCCTAAACCCTAAACCCTAAACCCTAAACCCCCAAACCCCAAACCCACAACCCTAAACCCAGGCGACCTCCAGCCCGTGCAGCTCACAAAGTCTGCATCCTCCCGGATGCCAATGGCTTGGGAACAGCACAAGTGCCCTAAAGACACCTAGTTTGGGGTTTAGGGTTTAGGGTTTAGGGTTTCGGGTTTTGGGTTTAGGGTTTAGGGTTTAGGGTTTAGGGTTTAGGGTTTAGGGTTAGGGTTTAGGGTTTAGGGTTTAGGGTTCAGGGTTCAGGGTTTGGGGTCTATAGAAGTTGTATAGGGTTTAGTTCGGAGCTTTGGGCGCGTGACGAGGTTTTGTTTTGTTTCCCGGGCCTTTGAAGCCTTCCGGGGCCTTCTGGACTCTTTTGCTCTAAACCCTAAACCTTAAACCCTAAGCCCTAAACCCTAACCCCTAAACCCTCCCGACTCCTCAGGGCCTCTCAGGGCTGTCGGTGCCTTGAAGCTATTGAAGCTACTGATGAACGTACTTAGGGTTTGGGGTTTGGGGTTTGGGGTTTGGGGTTTGGGGTTTGGGGTTTGGGGTTTAGGGTTTAGGGGATTGTCAGCTGCTTAGACAAACAACTTTGAAAAGTCATAATGATACCACATACAAGTCATATATGTCCTGGTCTTGAGGGGTTAGGGTTTGGGGCTTCGGGGTGTGGGGTTTAGGGTTTTAGGGTTTGGGGTTTAGGGTTTGGGGGTTTAGGGTTGCAGGATTAGCTGATTTGGGGCTTGGGGTCTTCCACTCTAGTTGACCTAACGAAGCCCTGAACACTATACCCTCTACCCTAAGCCCCTAAATCGAATCCTAATACTCTAAACTTCAGCCAAAGCTCTAAACGCAAAACCCTTAGGCGCGCCTGTGACTTGGAATGTCTTCTTAATGTTTCTGCAGAAATTCCTCGACACTCCTCCTCAAAACTTTCCTCGGAATGCCTCGAAACTTACCCTAAACTCTAAACCCTAAACCCCTAAACCCTAAACCCTAAACCCTAGAATAATATCAGCTAAGGGATACCCCGAAGTCTCTCCGAAGACCGCCTCTCGCAAGGCCACCTCTCGCAAGATGTGTAACTGTTTTACTTTGTGAAGGAGATCTTAAGAAAATAGCCCCAAACCCTAAACCCTAAACCCTAAACCCTAAACCCTAAACCCTAAACCCTGAACCCTGAACCCTGAACCCTGAACCCTAAAGCCTAAACCCTAAACCCTAAACCCTAAACCCTAAACCCTAAACCCTAAACCCTAAACCCTAAACCCTAAACCCTAAACCCTAAACCCTAAACCCTAACAGAGCAGGCCTTCAGGGGATCTGGGCGGCCTTTGAGGATTCCGTCCGCATCGCCTCGTAGAGCCTGGCGCGCACCAGGGGTTTAAGGGCTTTCAGGGTTTAGGGTTTAGGGTTTAGGGCTTAGGGTTTAGGGTTTAGGGTTTAGGGTTTAGGGCTTAGGGTTTAGGGTTTAGGGTTTAGGGCTTAGGGTTTAGGGCTTAGGGTTAGAGGGTTCGAGGGTTCGAGGGTTCGAGGGTTGGAGGGTTGGAGGGTTAGAGGGTTGGAGGGTGAGAGGGTTGGAGGGTTTAGAGGGTTAGAGGGTTCGAGGGTTAGAGGGTTGGAGGGTTGGAGGGTTCGAGGGTTAGAGGGTTCGAGGGTTAGAGGGTTAGAGGGTTAGAGGGTTAGAGGGTGAGAGGGTTGGAAGGTTAGAGGGTTAGAGGGGTAGAGGGTTAGAAGGTTGGAGGGTTTAGGGCTCAGGGTTTCGGGTTTAGGACTTAGAGTCTTCGGTTCAAGGGCTATGGGTCCAGGGTTTAGGGGTTGAAAATCATTCCTTTTGCACAGGCTTTGCGTTGCAGCGTTGATTCACCTAGTTTCCTAAACCCGAAACCCGGAACCCTAAACCCTAAACCCTAAACCCCAAACCCCAAACCCGAAACCCGAAACCCCTCCCTCTCCCAACCCTGAGCTCTCGACTGCGAGCCCGAACCGCACACAAAGCCCTCACAAACCTTCCAGATTTTCGGGCTAGGCCCGAGGCGTTCGACGCGCAACGTTTGCGACGAAACCCCTAGACCCTGCAACTGCAACCAAAAATGCAACTGCAACCAAAAACCTTAGAGTCCTAAACGCAGCAAAGGTCCCAGGACCCCAAACCCCCAGCCCCCCCAAAAACCCTGAACCCTAAACCCTAAACCCGAAGCCGCAAGCCCAAAACCCTGATGCCCAAAGACCCAACATCTGAAACATTGAGCCTCAAAAGCTCAAGAACCCTGAGCGTCAAAATCTAAACCCTAAACCTCTAAAGTTCACCCGATACGGCTGTTCGAAATGCATGTCCCAAAAATAGCCATTAAGGAGTCTGCAAAATCCTGTAGCACAACCCCCATCTTCAGGTTCAGGGTTGTGGGCTTCAAACCCCAAAACCAAGACCCAAAACCCCCAACCTTAGACCCTAAACCCTAAACCCGAAACCCGAAACCCTAAACCCTAAATTTGATGAAAACCCATCCAAAGCCCAGGCCTCTCCCGTGGTGTATTCGATCTGGCCCTGGAAGGGAATCAAGTCGGGCACGGCCTGTCGGACTTAGGGTTTAGGGTTTAGGGTTTAGGTTTTGGGGTTTAGGGTTTAGGGTTTAGGTGTTTAGGGGTTTAGGGGTTTAGGGTTTAGGGTTTAGGGTTTAGGGTTTAGGGTTTAGGGTTTAGGGTTTAGGGTTTAGGGTTTAGGGTTTAGGGTTTAGGGTTTAGGGTTTAGGGTTCAGGGTTTAGGGCTTCGGGCTTAGGGTTCAAGGTTTCGGGTTTATGGCGTGGGTTCTCAGTTTTAAGGGCTGTAGGGCAGCAATGCGTGGATTGCAGGCCCTCAACGCCTAAACCCTAATGCCTAACCCTCAACCCTGAGCCCAAAGTCCGTGAGGGACATCCCGGCGCCAACATGCCAGGGGTCGGCCGAAGCATCGGCGCACAGATGCGAGTGATACTGTGCCTTGGAACTGCCTTTCTTGGCCGCTTTCCAAATCTCGGGCAAGCTCAGCTTGTTGCTGATGCACTCGCCGTACGGCTCGAACAACTGGGAAGCTACGCTATCCCACGGGTACAGCTTGGTGCGACGGCTCGCCTGCTCCTCAGTCGGGGCGGCAGCCTCCAGGGCTTCGTCGAAGAGTCCGCGGGACATGACTTCTGAAATGCAGAGGACACGGCAAAAAGGCACGAACGTCAGAAAGACGGTACCCAAGCCGGTCCTCGCTTTCCTTGTGGGCACGCCAACCCACCCCCACCCCCCCCTCCACCCCCTCCGCCCTCCCTCCCCCCCCCCCATCCCCTCCCCTTCGTGAGGTCAGGCCTTTCAAGGCCTGGTTGGGGTTTCAGGCCACTCTTTCTCTTGTAATACTCATCTTCTTTGTGTGAGGCTATGCGGAAGTTTAAGAACGAACTGTTCTGAAGTCGTATCCTTCGTTGAACAGAACTTTTGTTGTATGAAGATACTGAATATTTTCTTAATGTTTTGGCATTCTCTGGTGGGTGGGTGTTGTGTCAGAGCCGTAAATATAACATCACCATAAAACTGCACTGCTCGATCCGGGGCTGCTGAACCCTAAACCCTAAACCCGAAACCCTGGACAGCAAAACCCTAAACCCCAAACCCTAAACCCTAAACCCTAAACCCCCAAACCCTAAACCCTCTTAGATCCCCCTTAGATACAGAGTGCACTCCCCACCAAAGCAGTATCAAGACCGACCTCTGCTCCAGGTAGAGTCCTGGACCCAACATCCCGAATCCCTAATCCCTAAACCCTAAACCCTCAACCCTCAACCCTAAACCCTAAACCCTCGATAGTAAACCCCTAAACCCTAAACTCCAGAAGCCCTAAACCCTAAACCCTAACCCTAAACTACAGAAGCCCCAAGCCCTAAACCCTAAACTGCAGAAGCTCTAAGCCCTAAACCCTCGACCCTCAAACCTTCAACCCTCGACCCTAAACCCTAA